GCTCAGTCGTTAAGCGTCTGCCTTCAGCTCAGGTCATGATCCCAGGGTCCTGGGATCGAGCCCCACGTCGGGCTTCCTGCTCTGCGGGAAGCCTGTTTCTCCCTCTCTCGCTCCCCCTGCTTGTGTTCCTGCTCTCACTATCTCTCCGTCAAATAAATAAATAAAATCTTTAAAAAAAAAAAAAAAAGAGAGAACAACTGCAGGGGCATCTGGGTGGCTCAGTCGTTAAGCATCTGCCTTCAGCTCAGGTCGTAATCCCAGGGTCCTGGGATCAAGCCCCGCATCAGGCTCCCTGCTCCGTGGAAAGCCTGTTTCTCCCTCTCCCACTCCCCCTGCTTGTGTTCCTGCTCTTGCTGTCTCTATCAAATGAATAAAATATTAAAAAAAAAAAAACACAACTGCAGCATTTATTTTGTGAATGTCTGTGGGAGGGCGATGTGGGAGAAACAACTAGATGCAACTAGTGAATGGCTGTAAGGTCGCACATCTGAGGAGTTCAATAACTTAAAAAGAGAGAAATAGGAAGGTAGCTAGAATGGTACCAGAAACGAGCAAAAAAAAATGTCCTTGAGGAAAAACTCATGGAAATGCCAAGTGCATGACAGAGTACATAGTACGCTATCATCTGTGTAAAAAGCAAGAGAGAGCATATGCACTCCCCTTTCCCTGTATGTGTACAAAATGACTGTGAAAGAACACCTAAGAAACAAACAGCGACTGTGGGGAGGAGGGAGGAACTGGGCCGGTGGGGGATGGGAGGAAGTCTCTCACTGTACAAACCTTTTCATATATTTTAATTTCTGATTCATCTGTGAATGACAGCATTAAAAAAAATTAAATATTAGGGTGGCTCAGTAGGTTAAGCGTCTGCCTTCAGCTCAGGTCATGATCTCAGGGTCCTGGGATTGAGCCCTGCATCGGGCTCCCTGCTGGGTGGGTAGTCTGCTTCTCCCTCTCCCTCTCCCTCTCCCCCCCCACCCCCGACTTGTGCGCTCTCTCTCTCAAATAGGTAAAATCTTTTAAAAACTTAATTATTAAAAAAAATCCAACCATTAATATTAAATGAGTAAATTTTAATATTTAAAAAGTAAAAGACTGTTCTCGGTTTCTGGTTTGCTGGGAGATTCAGTCACGGGTGCATGCTATACTTTGTTAGATTTCTTTCTTGTATCTATTGAAATGGTTATATGATTTTCATCTTTTGATGGCTAGTATGATTAATTGTATTGATCGATTTTCTAGTAGTGAACCAAGCTTGCATTTGTTAGTA